TTTTTTTTTTTAATTTTCAGTTTTATTCTGATTTCATCAACAGAGAAGTTACTAATACAAATTTGTGAAGTATCAAAAATGGATATGGCAAAAATAAAGTAACCACTTTTTTGGGTTTCGTTCCTCATCATTGCAATATTCAGCAAAAACTTATTGCATTCTCAAAATTATCCACTGAGCCCGTTGATTAACACGGCACCAACACACCGACACACCAACATACAAAAACATCTGCAGAAGCGTTTCTTTCACAACAGCAACTGATAATACTGAAGAAAGCGGCCAAAAAGCAACGGCAGAAAACAAAAGAAGCAAAATGAGAATTTTAAGTTCAGAAAGAAAAAAAATTTTCCGTTTTTTTTTTTGGTTTTTTTTTATTTAACAGTGCAGAAGAAAAATTACAGCGATAAAAGAACAAACAAGAAGCAAAAAAATTTTTTTTTATCTTCTTTTTGAAAGTTGTATATAAAATTTTAAGACAACAGAATTTCGGATGATTTGCAACAAATTTCAGCTGTATCAGCGATGGCTGTGCTTCTGCTTCTGATTATAATGATTCAGAGCGTTATAGATGTTGTAATAAATGGTAATACGAAAAAAGACAAGAAGAAAAAAAAACAAAAAACTCTTCCCGTCTTCTTTTTTCTTCTTTATGTTGAAGTTTTCATCACCAAATATTTTGAAAAATTACGAATTTAAAATACTGGAAATAAAGGCTTCAGTGAGGAAAAGTTAGGATAAGTAGGAAGATAGCCGGTAGTCGTTAAGATAGTTGCTAATAATAAACATAGAAAGCATTTGCTATGATACTGGTGAAGCTGCTGCCGCTGTTGCTGATGCTGATGGCGATTATGGTGAGGGTGACGGTGGTGAGGGCGGTAATGTTGATGATATACGACAGACAGCAGAATTGTTGTCGATCGACAAGCTACCAGAATAGAGGTTGTGAATTTTGGATGCTCGGACGGAAACTAAAAAACTGCACACTGTAGCCAATGGAGATGGAGAACAAGTAAAGTTGCGGGGATACGAAACGGAAGGAATGGAAGAACAAAAAGTGTATGTGCATGTTTCGTTTATGTAATCCTATATTATATTATTCTATTTAATGTCTGTTGATTCTACTTTGGCTTCTGTTGCTACTACTGGTGCTGTTGTTGAGCTGCTGTCGCTTTTTTAATGGCTATTTTTTTTTTCGCTTATGGATAAAAAGAGCAAAAGAATGAAAATAGACAGTACTGAGAATGACGAAGAAGAGAGCGGAACATTTGTAAAAACCATAAGCGTTTATTAAATTTGATGACGGATTATAAAATGCAGTGATTTGTCACAAAAAAAATTTTTTTTCTTCCTCAATCTCCTAAGCTGCTGACCACTTTTCATTGACAGTTTCTAAATGTGTTTTTGATTTGAATATATAAATTCTTTTCATCATATGCAAATTTCATGCTTTTCCTCTTCAATTCCGTTTTTGTTGTTATCCGTACAGCTGCTGCTACTGCCGCCGTTGCTGTATTGGTCGGTTGGTGGAGTATTGAGTTTATCCGTTGATGGACATCATCGCTTTCTACATTTTCTTTTTTTTTTTCTTTCATTGATCCATCCTTCAACAGTTCTTTCATCATCAAATCGTTTCCCTCATTTATTTATTATATACACCCTTGTCGTTCTATTCATCTGTTAACACCTCATTCTTTCTTTTACGCTCTGTTGTCATTGATTTCTAGAAAATTTCTTTTCTTTAGTTTTCGTTGTTTTGTATATATCTGTTAAATATCAAATAAGATAATTGAAATTTGCATATATCACTACACAAATTGACGGATTATTTGGTTATTTGTTTTGATTCTGTCAATGGCTTTTGTTAATGATACTTGTTGACAAACACAAAACATACGCAGATACTTTCAAAAAGGAAAGAACAGTAATAAATGAAACAAAAAAAACAGATTTATAAGTGTATCTTTAAAGAACGTTTCTTAGCAGCACTGATGCTCGTTAGCCAATATAAGTTCACTTGATTACCACACGCCGACAGTTGTTTTAGTTGGCTGATGACGTACAAAGTGAATCAGCGGAGAAGACAAAGAAAAAAAAACGATGTTGTACTCTCTCTGTATTATTGTATTCATTTGTATAGTACTTATTATACATTAAAAAAAGTATTGATAACTGATTGATAGAACCAAAAAACAGTATCAGTTTTGAACTGGTAAATAATT